AACACACCCAGGGCCAATATTCCCTCCTTTAAGGAGGTGAATCCTCGGGAATAAGGGAGTGTGGCAAGTAGTTAGAAGTAAACACGAAGCCAGACGAACCGAAGGTAGGAATAGCCAGTCTATAACTGGATAATCAACCCCACCCCCACCCACATATATATATATATATATATGCATATATACATGGAAACTTCACTTGCAATAACTTTGCTCTTTATTCTACAATGGAATCATTGCATTCGAGACTTTAGTGATATGTTCACTAGCAAATCCTACCTCTCAAATCAGAAATTAATGAAAGTTAGGAAGGAAAGGCAAGAATAAGAAATAATATATGTATATAATAATAAACAAACAGTTAATCTAGTTTAATCAATGAAGTTACTTACAAGCTGTGTTGTTGCATAAAATTTAGATTATTAATACAGTTTCGCTCAATGTATATTATTTTCCCCTGTCCGGGTGTGCGTATTTAGTCATATACTATACGTATATATTGGAAAAAAAGGTTGTGCAAAAGAGAAGATGAAGTGCATAGATGAGAGAGAGAGAGTGATAGAGACTACTCTATAAGCAATCTTTTTGGGTATCAACACACCCAAGGTCACAGGCTCCAAAAGAAGTAAAAGAAAAAGATATGAAAACAAGCAGATTTTCGTTGCAGCAGGTAACTCAACGCTATCAATTATTGAGTGTCGTTTTAAATTTTATGGAAATTTGTAGGTGAAGCTGTAATCAAATCTGTCTTCAATAGTTTGCTTACTTTATGATTAGATAAAGCCATTAAAGAAATTTTGAACTGTACGAGTTGATTTGCAGGTGAAGTTTAGGGTTGGATCCATTCTGTCACCACTGTACAGTAATTGGTAAAAAGAAAAAAACCTACAAAACCCGAACTGTTATCTTACAAAATTTATTAAAAAGAATGGTAGAGCATTTTAAGGTGGGCAGCTGGAAAAAGAAGAGAAAGAGACCTTTCACTTTATTCAATTTCCAAGACAAAACCAGACTGTAAAACTTTGCCCTTTTGCAAAGGGATTTGAATTATGATCATTAACATTGGGAAAATTTATTTGTTTTTAGATTTTAGGATGGCATAATACAAAAATAAATTAATTTTATGAAGAAATTTTGAATGGTTAAGAAGTCAGAATTATTATTAATATAATTCAAAATCCTAAAAACCCTATTGGAACCCATCAAGATTCAAGACTCGGCTGAGGAAGATATATATATTTTGGCATTCAATTGGGAAGTTGAAATCTAAAAATGATTTGTGTCATGCCCAATATCTAACGGGCTAAGTTGGTGAGTGCCCTTTATATGGGACCCTAACCTTAGTGAATGTGACACATGCAAGCATATCGTAGTCATCCATTTCTAGTCCAAGACATCAAGTACATAGCCCATACACTTAATCCATGGGATGCCTCTTTTCTTCTCTTCTCTTTTCTTTTCTTTTCTTTTCTTTAAAAACCAAAAAAAAAAAAAAAAAAGTTTAAAAAAAAATAATATCAAATTAGTTTAAATTAAAAATGTATTCGGGTTAGCATAAAAAAAAAAAAAAAAAAACTCGATCTTGCCTGACCGTATCTATGAATTTTGGTTTAATCAAAAACTTAGTTATGCCAAAATAAATAAAATTCATAACCTATTATATCAATTTTAATTTATAAAATCATAATGTTACAAGATTATTTGAATAGTGAATAGTGTATGTTAGTGGTTAGATTGAAAATCTCGTATTCAAAATTAAAATTTCAACGGGATGATCTTCGAAATTATTGCGCTAAAATATAAAAAAAAAAAATAGTTATAGAAATAAAATATTAATGAATGAATTAATTAATTCTATTTGTTATTTATTCAATTATTTTCTCTTTTCCCCAAACAAAATCCAACTTTTCAACTATTTAATTGGGGTCAATTCCAAATCCTATTCGTGGTTATCTTGAATTGAGTCAAGTATTTAAAATTGTTGTCTAATATATGTTGGTAGATCTGTTCTAAGTTGATATATTCATCTTTATCAGTTACCAAGTACACAACACAATTTGACATATAGTATATAAAACTATATATAGTTAGGTCAATTGTCCTTGAAATGGCAACCATTTTAATCAAGATCATTTAAATGAAAAATGAATCCTATCAAAAGATGAATGCTGTACAGTTTCCATCCCTTAACCCATGTCCCAACTAGATTGAAAAATTAACTATTGAAAAAGTTATTGGGACTAAAATATATGTTTGTTTATATTAATAATTAAACAAATTCTATAGAAATTTATAGAATAAAAATTTTGTCAAAGTTTGAATCATAAGTATTATTTCCTTTTAGTCTAATTATGAAAAGGAATAAAAAAAATTACAAAACTAAAACAAAGAAGCTTACTGATTAAAATAATTATATAATTAGAACGACCATCGATTGATTAAAATATTAATTTATTAATTTTATTAGTAGTTTACCGGTTAAAACACTAATTTTAATCAAATTGATTCCATGTCTTTTTTGAATTAAAGTTTTGGACAAATTAAAATAATGGTGATGGTTTACCCTCTCTCTTGATCTTTTACTTGAATGCCATGACTAATAAACTCCATGAGGTATTTGGATTAAATTATGTACGTATTTTTTAAATTTTAAATTACTTTTGCTTGGTTTTTCTTTTTTCCTTTTTAAAAAAATTTTCTATTCTATAATTTTTAATATTTTTTGAAATATTTATATATAAAATATAAATCTAAAATTATTATTAATTATATTTGTAGAATGTATAATGAATAATGTGTAACAATTCGAACTTATTATATGATCTAATACAAATATACGATACACTGTATTTACTGTATGATCTGATATAATTGTACGAATAATCTAAATATTTTATACTTAATGGATGATCTACTATATGATAATTCAGAAAATAATTTGAAATGTACGATTTTAATATCATTTATAACAATCCGTAATCACCCGACTAGAGGTAATACGTTATAAACAAAATTTCAAACTCGTAATTTATGAGATGATGTCATGTTTACAAAGTATATAAACTGGACTATGTATTTTTAATAATTTCAGTTTTATTTTTCTTTAATTTTCCCCTTTATAAAAGTTGACATTGACTTATTAACCCATTAAAACTAAAGTGAAATATTTAATATGATTCTTTTGGCAGTGGTAGCCGACGTCTCAGATTTTCTCATTCCTTTGCTAGCTATAAGCTTTTCTAATTTGGTTAAAACACCAAATTGAATAAATTAAGCACATTTTCCACTTTCAGAATCATTACAAGAAAATAAAAATTAACATTGAATATAACTCCAAATCTGCAATTTACAATAATTGATAGAGATTTTTTGTATGTTATTTTATGATAACTCCAATTCATTCATACTATAAAAGAAAAGGGTAAAAGTAATAATAATTTAACTTGATAAAAAAATGATTAATTAATTTAATTCATAATTAATAAGTCAAATTATTTCCTACAGGAAATAAAGATAATTGGTTGCGACCCCTCTCTCATTTGCAATTATTTTACGTTAATGAGGATTTGGTATGTCGGAAATTTCTAGAACTTATTAAAAAAAAATTAAATGGAAAGCTCACTTGGGAAAGAAGCAAAGCACGCAGACTGCCCTTTCAGCCGTGGCGAAATGACATTGGCCTAATTTTATTTTCCTTTTTCTTAATCCTCTAGGGTGGTTTTACTTTATTTATAATTTATATATTATATAAGCAAATTACATTAAAGATCAACCCTTTCTATTTTGTTTACTAGATATGGCGCCTCTTCCCTGTCAGGCCCACAACTTTTTTAAATTTCATTCACAAACCAAAAACTACTACATATTCATACACACATATACATATACATATAATATATATATATATATATATATATTGTATTCCACATTTATACATATGTACACACCTGTGAAACACACATATCTTACCCACAAACATTCAGGTAACAAGAATCGCAGACAAAACTTTAATTCTTTTTCTAATATAAAATAACAAAATCCATTTTTAATTAACCTAATTTCTAAAAATAATCCTAATTACTCTCACTAAATCACCAATTCTAAAACCGGAATATTAATAAAATAAAAAGAAATCTCACCTTTACCTTTTTTTTTTTTTTTAATTTTTTTAATTTTTGTTTGTCTCAGTTGACAGCCACAGGCTCATCTTCTCAAAATGGATGCAAATTTCTGCTAAGGCCATTGATATTAGAGAAAAGCCCCACTAAGTCCTGCCTGTACGGCAAGAATGACCGCCGTTTATCACCTTCGTTCAGACGTCGGCTGTTACTCTTCACGTGATACAGATGATCCTTCACATTCACCTTCACTCTCTCCGACGCAATTGCCGCAGCCTTGGCCTCTTCCCCGCCGTTCTTTTTGCTCGGCGTCAAAAACACGAACGTCTCCTTCCCGTCGCTGTTGCTCCTGTGAAGAAGATCTCGAAGCTTCCACCGCTTTGACGATCCCGTTGAGTTGCTCTTCTTGCATCTCCCCTGATCGTCAGCTTCCGTCCGCTTCGGCGTCCAAACACAATAGCTCTCCGGCGCCACGCCGTCCAGCTCATCTGCTTCCGAAGACGAGCACGATGACGCCGACGGCTCCCGGTCCTCGCTCAGAAGCTTCCTCAACGGCGAACGGAAGGAGGACTTAGGCGATTTGGACGACGTCGTTGCAGTAATAGCAGTAGAATCCGAGCTCCCGCCGAAATCAGAAGTGAACAAAGGATAAGGATAAATAGGCCTGATCTGACCGTTATAGAAGATCTCGTCGGCGGATATAGGAGAAGAATCAGGTTCCCTGCAGACGAATGCGAACTCAAAGTCATCATCCTCATTGTTACCGTCTTCATCAAGAACATCCTCGTTTAGGTCGTGATTAAGGAGAAGATCAGATTGGAGGTGCGACCAGCTTTCGAATTCAGAATCGGAGTCTTGTAAGCGGAATTCTTCAACAACTCGAGCTGCAATCTCAGCGAGATTGACGGAAGAGTAGGTGTTGAAGCTGGGAGAGCTAGGGGAGAGGGAGAGTAAAGGACTGGCCTGAGCCTGAGCCTGAGCCTGAGCCTGAGCCTGAGCCTGCATCATCAGCTATGTGGTGTCTGTAAATTACTTAGGTTTAGGATAAATGAAATTGGGAGAGAAGAGTTGGTTGAAATGAAAATGAAAAGAAGCGGGGGAGCGTGAGGCTTGTGATATATAGGTGGGAGGGGCTAACTAAATGGAAATTAAAAGTAAATTAATTTAATTGAACTAATGAAGACACTCGAACAACTTTAAATTTTATTTATGATATTATTATTATTATTATTATTATTATTATTTAAAAAAAAATCAATTGAGCTAATTATGGTTTGTAATCTTAAACAAAATAATTAAAATATATTTATGTCAGTTATGGAATACATATAAATCGATTTTGTGTAATTAAATGTTTTGCTTATTTGACAAGAATAATAACAAGTGGAGGAGTAACAGGATTCACACGTGTTGAAATAATCAATTCTCCTTTGTTTAACGTCATTTGCTTTTCTTTGCTGGCTCTACCCTCAACGCTGTCGTATTGAATTTCTTAAAAATCCTTTTTAATCAAATTTTTTAATAATTTGTTTAATGCAACGGTCACAGCCCA